TGCAGGTTTTCTTGCAACTGCTGTTGTCTCTCTTCTTGTTTCTTTTCTTTTTCCTCCAACAACTGCTGTAATCTCTCTTCTTGTTTAATTTCTCATTCTTCTTGTTTCTTTTCTTTTTTTTCTAACAACTGCTGTTCTCTCTCTTCTTGTTTATTTTGTTGTTCGAACTGCCACTATTGCAGGTTTTCTTGCAACTGCTGTTGTCTCTCTTCTTGTTTCTTTTCTTTTTCCTCCAACAACTGCTGTAATCTCTCTTCTTGTTTAATTTCTCGTTCTTCTTGTTTCTTTTCTTTTTCCTCCAACAACTGCTGTAATTTCTCTTCTTGTTTCTTTTCTTTTTCCTCCAACAACTGCTGTAATCTCTCTTCTTGTTTAATTTGTCGTTCTTCTTGTTTCTTTTCTTGTTTAATTTATTGTTTTTCTTGTTTCTTTTCTTTTTCCTATAACAACTGTTGTAATTTCTCTTCTGGTTCTTCTTGTTTATTTTGCTGTTCTTGTATTGCTGCCATCAAGTCTGCTATGCTGTAGTTTGATTTGCCGCTTCTCGTTTCCATTTTTTTTATCCCACTCCTGACACCAGTTTGTTACGTCTCCGTTTGTTAATTAATTTTCCTTAACTTCGTTCCGACGAAACTTTAGCGACACAAGTCCTTACTTAATAAAACTGGTTTATTCTTTCTGAATACAACTTTACGATACATTTAATTTCAACATTCGTGCTAAAACAAACGCTATAATGAACGTTAACTTCAACAATACTCTGACTGCAGATCAATTACTCACTACCTACACACACATTGTTGTCACGTTGTGAGCGTCCTATTTATATACCAGAAAAACATATATCTAGTAAATGCTAGTGCATTCACGAAGGAACAAGAAACTTCCAGAAAATAGGCGGCGTGACAATAGTCACGTGAACCCGCTGACGCAACAATAAAAAGGAAGGGGCAGTGTTACAACAGCGGGGGTCACGTGACGCTAGTAACACGTCATATTCTCGAACGTTCACGTCCCTTCCTGAAGTCTCGAGAGGTTACTAGATATGCGGTATTCTTGTATATATAA